GTCGGCCTTTGAACGAGCATCTCCATAGGCACCTGCAAAGACAACACTCTGCGAAACGCGATTTCTTAAGCAATAGGAATTTCTTCTGACGTTTTTAGATGTCCCTATAAATTGATCTCGATTTTTTAGACATAGTGCATTAAATATTGTTTCATGTACCTGTTTGGTAACAGCTCTGGTCTCGTTGATGAACGTTCACCTGGCCGCTAACGGAACTCATCTGATCCTGACAGTCGTACCAGCTTGTAGTAGGCAGATAGTATCGCCGACAAAGACAAGGGAGACTAAAATTGTCCTTTCTGGCTTATTAGCCCTTGTCAGCCAGTCATACCCAGACCCGAGTGGTGTCCCACTCGAGCCTCGAACTCGCGACCTCTTTGATCAGAGTAAAACACACTACCTATTGAGCCACGAGCTCATTGTCTCGTCTGGTTTAGGTAAGGACGTATTGACATTCGCTGATGAACCTTCACCTGGCCTCCAAGTGAACACATCAGTCCCGATGTCAGCCGTAGCAGCTCGTAGTAGGTAGATTGTATTACCAGCAAAGACAAGAAAACTGGAATGAATATTTCTGGGACGCCACTTGAGTCTGGGTATGACTGGCTGACGACGGCTGATAAGCCAAAAATGGCCACTCCAGTCTCCGTTGTCTTTGCGGGCAATACTATCTGCCTATTACAAACCTTAATCTTCCTAAAAATGTTGAATTTATGCAAATCGGTCTTCTAAAAACAATTTTTAAAGACGCGTTGAACATATTCGTGATATGTTACAGTCCCTCATTAGGAAAAAGTGATGTGTAAGCGAGCAATTCATAAATTGTATTGTATACAGGCAACAGTGTTGTTTAAACTTACAGTAGCCATTCTAGTGCAAACAGAAGTCCCACGTGGTTTACGGGGATTCCGAGCGAGGAGAGAATCGTAACCAAAATGACGATACTCGCGCTTGGAATGTTTGGGATTGCCAGAACAGCTGAGGCGCTTAGGAGGCTGAAAGACGTCAAAGGAAAGATGGGAATGAATAACATAGCCGGGGAGTCTTTCATAATAATGAAAGTCAAATAAAAGTGCCAGGCTTTTAAACTCTGCACGATCCCTTCTGCCCGCATAGACGTTGCGACCTTTTAGCGCAACGTCTCATGAGAAAAAACTGCTACAATAGATGCTTAACGGAAGGTTGCTTTAATGGAAATTTGAAAAGTGCGTGACATTCCGTTTGCGATACAGGTCATTTTGTCATTCCACTCTTGCCCCGGTCGTTATTCCTTATGCATATATAATGCAACAGGTTTTAATGCAGACCTCTTTTCGATTGCAGAATCTGCTGATATTTGCGAATCTGATTAATCTGATATTTTAATCTCAGCCTGAAAACCAGCGGTCAGCACAGAAGCATCATACCCAGGTCAGGCGTATGAGGTGGCTACGCTGGAGCAGGCACGCAGGGTGGGGTAGGTAGGTAGGGCGTGGTAGAAGGGAGAAAAGTACATTCAAAAAATCGAATTCGACAGCACAGATGCTGACAACTGACTCTTTGCCAGGGCACTGGGGGGCGACTTTGCCTGATAGCAGTGGTCTTATAGTAAAAAAACGCCATGGCTGTGGGCTACCTGAATGTATAACCCGGAACCATGCACAAACTGCGTTTATCAGCACACCTGCAAAATTGGCTGGCGGTTAAGGGTTAAACCGTCTGAAAATTTAAACCGGTACTTCATAAACTCGTATGTATAGGGTGGTGCGATAAATCTACGCACAAATGTGCCGAGAGGGCTTCGCTGGACCAACAAGGGACTGATAATAAAATTATGGGGTTGACATGAGGTGCAAAATTAAACCTAAGGTCACCAAGATTGTTTGAGAAAACATCAACTTCAAATAAGCCACTCTCTGAAGCACATGGTGTCGAATACCCTGATATTTTCTCGTTCATTATTGGAAGCATTGCCAAATGCACTTTTCCGAGTACAAGATCCCGGCTAATATTTTATGATTGACAGTCCTGAGAGACAGCAAGGTAGAAAGTCTGGTAAAAGTTCAGTAGGTAGACCAAATTGTGTGCCCCTTGATATAACGACGAGTTCTGCTTCGCCAGTGTTGTAACGGTGACATCTGACGTGTGTCACCGTCGAAGTACGCCCTTTGGAATGCCCAGGGAAGAACACAATAGTAAAAGGCGTAATTCTGGAATCCACCCGGAGAGGGGTTTATTGTGTACAAAACCCGGAGTTGCTGTCTCGGGTGGTAATTTCACTGGTTGATCTCCAGCATGCTGATGTCCCCGCCTCGGGTCTGACCCCGGCCACAGGAGAGGACTGATGTTGTCCTCGCAGTCCGTTTGCTGCGCAACACCCCCTCTCTGAGGTGTGACAGTGGCTTATAAGAGGATAAGGTCACGCGTTCTGTTGTGGCCTGATTGGCCACATTGGGATAATTTCACACGACCAGTTGGCCCTCAAGGAACTGCGAGCACTTGGGCACGCGCTTTGACGTGCGTGCGTACGTTTGTCCGGTTTTATGTCATTGTGCGTGGACAGTCATCGCGCAGGCATGACCACCGCAAAGGCATATGACCGTGAAGGCGTTCAGAGTGAAAATATAAAGACATTTGGCTAGGCTCGACGCCATAGAAAAGCCTCCAAATGTTGCTAGCATTTGGTCAGGCTAATCTCCTAACCCCCCTAGCCCGAGAACTCTGCTTTACGCGAGCGGTGTTTTTAGTTTATTGTAGTTTATTACTCAGTTTATAGGTCATATGTTGGCTTAGGTTTTAATTTTACTTAATTTTGTTTACTTTAGCTTAGCTTATTTGGTTTAATTTAGTAATTATTAGTTATTTAATCATGTTGATCATCCCATAGACGAAGAATAAGGTACGAAGACATGGACCGAATTATATTGAGACTGACGTTTCGGATACTCGCTTGATTCCATCGGCCTGTTTGACGGAACTGTTTCAGTTCTGCCTCATATTATATCCGTGCTCACCGCACGAACTTTGGCCTGCCTGTTCGCTGCTCACTGAGCGTGAGATTGACCGCTGGTGGGCTCGTGTGACATTTGTCTCCTTTGCGGTTATTATAATGGTGCGCAAGTTAGCATGCTTACTGGTCTACTGTTCGCCCACTGACGGACTGATCATTTGTTGCTGCCCACGTAAGTTTATGTGAATCTAGTGTGCGCAGTCCTGAGGTAGTGTTCCACGCTGGTCACCTGGTTCCTGGCCGGTTCCTCACCTATTTTCCTCTGACTCCAGTTGTAGTTCACGCTTGAGCTTGTTTTGCCGCCTTGTTAGCCTCGTTCAACCTGACTCGAGCTGTGTGTCAGGTAGTTATTGAAGTAAATTTATCGAACTCTAACTGTTCCTAACTAAACTAAAAACTAGACTAAAGTCAAAGTAAAATTTAATTAACAAATTAAATTATAAAACGCAAAACTAAACTATAAGTAATAAAACTAAAAGTAACCACAGGACTAGAGGCTAGGGTTAGCTTAGTTAGGCGACCAACTTAAATTTCTCCGAACTTTCTTCAGAGTTGCCGCGAGGAGGAGCACTTATTTAAAGGACTTTGGATAAAAGGGATTCTCCCAATTAACTTTTGCAGTCGGTCACATAATAAGACCTTAGAACAGCCATTAAGCCATTCATGTACGATGAGAAGCATAACGGAAGATTCTTGCAGAATAGCGATTCGCACCAAACTGCCGTGGATAATAAAAACCTACCAAACAATCACAACGGTTCCTGCAGTGAGAGGAGACTGAGTAAGCTGTGCGATGAAGAGAGAGGACGCCGCGATGAAGACAGCAGAGCCATCGCCCTTTATGGTTGCTGATAGGGGCACGACAAACCTCGAAAGAGTGGGATCGATGCCTAACGCATCGCTAGCCTTATACAGTTCTGGAATGGTGATAATTCTGGGGAAAGACAAAAGTGCAGTTACAATGACTGTCGCATAAAACTGAAAACTAAAATCTCGAAAAAAACTATTTTATAGTAATACAGTAAGCCATACTGCGTAGGACAAATGCATAAGAGGCGTTCAAACCGCATTTGTTCCGATGCATTTGCTAATGCCGGCAGACAGTGGATAAAAGACCTGAAGGCTAGATATGCTATGATACAAATTGATTTAGGGTTTCAGAAACCCGGAAGGTTGACGCTTCATTCGACGGTGCTTGCCACTGAATAGAGCATATAACATTTTAAGCCCTGTGATTAAGAATAAGCAGCAAAACGACAACATTAGTCCACTAAACAGCTTATGGACGGAGCCTTACCCTTGACAGTTAAAAAATAAGTGTTACCAGGCGTCGACACCTTTACTGTTGAGAAGACTTTTTTATCTAGTATTATATCACCATTGCGATGCATAACATATGAAAATAAATAACCATATGTATTAGGTTATATCGCGTTCATTATTGCCCAAAGATAAGATAGAAAAAGAAGAAGAGGGGGCGGGTTCATGGACCAAATTATATTTGAACTGACCACAATACCCTGACAATGGAAGCGAGAAGGGTTCCGAAACCTCAATTCTGATGTAATTAAGTCCATTAACCCGTCCCCACTTCTTTTTTCTTATTTTTCGGCGGTGATGAACGCGATATCATAGCTGGATCCCGAATATTTCGGCATATATTCGGTTATGCGAAGAAAGTACTGGGTAGTAAATGAAAGTATGTAAACATGAATAAAACGAAAATCGAAAAATTGATACTTAACTGGCGCTATAGTGCTGATACGACAATTCGGTTGTTCCGGACGAAGGCGCCTATCAGTGGCTTTATTGCACCATGGACGCGGGGCGGTGAATTGCGCGTGTTAGGGAAAGCACGGAATGTGACAAACGCTTAAGGGAAGCATTGTGCTTTATGATTTAGTCTTCACAGAGTCCTGCCTTTAGGCTGCTGATTGTTGAGCAATTACGTGATTACTCCGTCCCATAGTCGTGGGTAGTCTGTTACAGTAGTCGCCAGTTATTAAGCCCACCTCAGGCCCAGACCAAATTGGGCTTAATAAGCGGTGGGCGCGCTAACCAGAGAGTCC